TCCTTGTGCCGAGAGCCAGAGGGAGTGAATCACTCAAGAGACACTCAGCTTTGTTCAGCACACACACACACACACACACACACACGCAGTACCATGTTGTTTCAACAGTAAAAAGTTTTACCTCTTTCCAACAGGGATGACGAAGCAATCAAGAATGCATAATCAAATGCTGTCCTGGCTTTGCAATCAAAAAATGTGTTTATAATGGAAGTCAATGAACCACAATTAGCCACCAACCTAACCAAAGGGGAGTCCATTTGAACAATACACAAGGGTTAATATCCAGATAATGTTGGAGTAATAGTATGAATTATGAAGATTAATAGAGGCATTAACAGAGTCACAGTGTGAGCATATTCTCTGAGTCTGAGTCTCTGTGTCCTCTTGGCGTCTCCAGCAGGTTTTCAGTCCAAGGCTGACAGTGACATTTGCTCTCTGTTTGAAGCACTTAAAGCACCCTGTGTTTCCATCTGCTGTCTCGCACATTCACACTTTAAACACATGGAGAAGCCTGAAGTGTATCTATTTACAGTGTAAAGCAGAAGTGTACATATACTCTAAAAAAAGGAACATTACCTTTTTTTTTAAAGTGTCTGATGGTAAATTATACTAAACGTTTACTATTTTAGGTCCGTCAGGAATAGCTAAATGATTGACATTTGCTAAATGCCAGATTAATGAGAGAATTTTTTGGAAGAATGTTTTTAATTAATTTCCAGACAGTCAAAAGTTTACACACATTTCCTTGGTATTTGTTCAGCTTTGGTTTTAAACTGTACAACTTTGGTCAAATGTTTTGGGTATCCTTCCACAAGCTTCTCACAATAGTTTGCAAGTTTTTTGGCACATTCCTCCTGACAGAATTGGTGTAACTGAGTCAGATTTGTTGGCTGTCTTGCTCGCACAAGCTTTTTCAAATCTTCCCACAAATGTTCTATAGGATTGAGATCAGGGCTTTGTGATGGCCACTTCAAAACATTCACTCTATTGTCCTTAAAGCATATTTGAACTAATTTGGCAGTATGCTTAGGGTCATGGTCTGTTTGGAAGACCCATTTGTGGCCAAGTTTTAATTTCCTGGCTGATGTCTTGAGATGTTGCTTCAGTATTTCTCCATAATGTTCTTTCTTCATGATGCCACCTATGCTGTGAAGTGGACCAGTCCCTCCTGCAGCAAAACATGATGCTGCCGCCCCCATATTTCACAGTTGGGATGGTGTTCCTAGGCTTTGAGTGTTTAGAATAGATTTAGAAAATGGACAGTAAGATCATGTTCCATCAATACATGTTATAAATCAGTTTTTGATGAGTAATATGCTTTACCAAGAACTTAATGTCAATGTTCAAGGTGACAATATTTACATCAGTGGTCACCAAACTTGTTCCTGGAGGGCCGGTGTCCTGCAGATTTAAGCTCCAGCCCTAATCAAACACACCTGAACAAGCTAATCAAGCTCTAACTTGGTATACTTGAATCATCCAGGCAGGTGTGTTGAAGCAAGTTGGAGCTAAACCCTGCAGGGACACCGGCCCTCCAGGACCGAGATTGGTGACGAGATTTTTTGAGCCCTCAGATTCCAGGTTTGCAGATAGCTGCACCTCAGCTAAATATCGTCATATACAGTACTGTGAAAAAGTCTTAGGCCACTAGTATTTTTATTTATTTATTTATTTTTTAAGATTTATTTTTGGCCTTTTTGTCTTTATTAAGTGGATAGGACAGTATTTCAGACAGAAAGCGAAGTGGGAGAGAGAGAGGGGGTAGGGACGGGGAATGTCCTCAAGCCGGCATTCGAACTCGGGACATCCTGAAGTGCTACAGCACCATATGTCGATGAGCTAACCACTAGGCTATTGTGCCGACGGGCCACTAATATTTTTATCGCCATTAAATATTGTCATTAAATAATTTCATTTTCAAGTACTTTTAATTTAACATCAATAATTAATTTGCTTCATATTGCTATATAATAGTTTCCCAGAGATGAGTTGCGGCTGGAAGGGCATCTGCTGCATACAATGTGCTGGATAAGTTGGCGGTTCATTCCACTGTGGCGACCCCTGATTAATAAAGGGACTAAGCCGACAAGAAAATGAATGAATGCAATACAATACAATCACCTAATAGCAAAGCTCTATTATAACTGCCCTTATTTCCGTTATTGGTATAAGATTGCAGAAGGATGGTTTGACTAGAAATGTAGTTTTCACCATCATACTCATACCTTTAAGTTATTCGGCAGAACTGCAGTCTGAACTGCTGTAATTAAATCCTAATCTTGCAATGTGTTATGAGCTTCAGTATTCTATGATATTGTAATTTTGTTTTTCTTGTTCAAAAGCGTAGTACAGCTTGAAACAAGACAATCATTTGCTAGTCAAATCTGGTTCAGTTGCATTATTTACATTCTGCTCTCCAATATGACAAACATGTGGAACTGTATCTTCTTACTCATATATGCAAATTAAAGCTGACCTATGCCTACCGCATTACATTACTTTATATTAAACATTGTTTGGACTTGTGGGGAAACCAGAGCAACCGCCGGAAACCCACGCCAACATGGGGAGAACATGCAAACTCCACACAGAAATGCCAACTGGCCCAGCTGAGACTCAAACTTGAGACCTTCTTGCTGTGAGGCCACAGTGCTAACCGCTGAGCCACCATGTCCCAGTCTCATGGGTATTAACAAAAACTAATTAAACTACTGAAACTTCTGTTGTTCTCCACAGATGTAAGATCATCTTCTTCACTAATGTATGTTGTAATTTCTGAAATTTTGTCCTGAATCTAGAGGTCTGGGGGTCATTTTAGATTAGGAGTAAAACCACACACACACAATTCTGTGAAAAGCCTGTCATCATTTACTACCAACACACACACACACACACACACACACACGACTAACAAATACTGGACACATTATAAGGCATTTATTGGAAAAAAAATTGACACTATGTAAACAAATAAGCAAGCAGGATATTTGCATTTCCTTGATATTATACAACACCACATTCAATGATCTATGGTAAACTGTCACAGTCAAACAAACAAATGAGGAGGATAAACTCATGTTGTTTTTCTTTACATCAGACTAACCAGATTATATCAGTAATTTCCTGTTGACAGATATTTGTGCACTGCCAGCTTCTTCTGTCCCTGTAGGATATTTAGGCCTCTTAGTTAAAGACTGTTGCTTAGACAGGTACCTTTTTAAAAACATACTTATTTACTAAGGTACTGCTATAGTTCTGTGAGGACAAGTGCATTCCTACAAGGACTTCTATTACCTACAAAAGGGACACACCGTGGTTCAATAAAAAATTTAAACAGCTTCGCCAGACTAAAGCCTGGTTTATACTTCTGCGTCAAGTGACCAGCCTAACCCACGGCGCATGCAACGCGCGCAGATGTGCATTTATACTTCTCTGCGTCTCTGTCGGTCTGCATTAACACTTCCGAAACGCTAGTTGGCAGTGAGGTGTAAATGTTCCTCTGTGTGGAGTGTCTTCTCTGCTGTTTTGCTTTTCCTGAACACTTCCTGGATGTACAAGTGGCTCAAACTCGCTCATTTTGAGGCAGGAACCGGCGGACGTGCAACAACTTTAACTATGAGGTAAACACAAAACAAAACTTTCCATCAGGAGCTCCTTCACGGTACTCCACACTTGTAAACAATCGCTCCATTGGGCTCGCGCCATTCGCGCGGCACTTAGTCCCTCCCAGACTCATCAGCGCTACCAAGTCGACCAATAACAGAGCTTTGCTATGTGTAGTTACATTTTTGAGAGGTGCATGTCAGCGCAACGACGGTCACAGTGTAGGGCTATGCGTCAACACGTGGGCTGCGCCATAGCATACGTGTACGCTTAACACAAAAGTATAACTCAGCCTTTAAGAGGATGCCTACAGGAGTGAGGATAAAGGCTTGTACAAACATGACAAAAACACAAAGACAAAGGAGATCAGAAGGGCTAAGCTACAGACTTTCGCTCCACTTCTAATCGCATGTACAGAATCCGTTTGGGAAACAGCGTCTATTTATCACTATGGAGCACGTCTGACAGTCACGCACCGCTATATAAACAGACTGTTTTGAGGATTGCAAAGTAGGGGCGACGGTGCCTGTAATGAAAAGAAAAGGAATTACACATTTTCAAATTTATTTCAAAGTGTTTCTATGCCTAAATAAAACAAAAGCACAGAACAGATTCACAATTAATAGCAAGGGGCGCCCCCTGGTGGTTTGGCAAATTGGGTTGCATATCGGTTCTTTAATGTTATTGCCTTCCTTCAAAGAAAGATTAAAAATACGGGAGAAAAACAGGAAAATACCTTTACGGGATGATAGCAGTATAGAACTGTAAAATATGTGAAAATCCTTGGAAAAATGGGAGGATTAACACCTATGATATATGGCCGGCTGATGGCAAAGTCGTGGAATTGTACGTTCTTGCTCAAATATGCATATCAAAGCTTAGGTAGGCATTACATTTCTTTATACTGATTACAATGTTTACATTGAACAAAACTGGAAAAGCAAATGATATACAACAAGTGAAGTACATGTGAATGAAGTAAGAAATGCAATGGTCATATATTTTTTTATCAAATCTAAAGTCAGCTCTGGGCTGCTTATCTTCAGCTTCACGATTATCCTCATTAGTCCTGGGCTTATACACATTATTCCTTCATTCATTCATTTTCCTTCGGCTTAGTCTCTATTTCAGAGGTTGCAACAGTGGAATGAACCACCAACTATTCTGGCATATGTTTTACACAGCAGATGCTTTTCCAGCTGCAACCCAGTAACAGGAAACACCCACACACACAAACTCACATTTACACACACTCATACACTACAATTTAGTTTATCAATTCCCCTATTGCGCATGACTTTGGACTGTAGGGGACACCGGAGCACCTGGAGGAAACCCACACCAACACAGGAAGAACATGCAAACTCCACACAGAAATGCCAACTGGCCCACCCGGGACTCGAACCAGTGACCTTCTTGCTAACTACTGAGCCACGGTGCCACCCTCTTCTAAGCATTAACAAAAACTGATTAAACCACGGATGTAAGACCTTCTTCTTTACTGATGTTGTAAATTCCAAGATTCTGATCACTCTGACCTTCACCCTTCACACCTCCTCTCTCTGCCTTACTGCTGCTCACTGCAAGAAGATAAGGGAAGGCCCAGATAGTTTCTCACCAGTCTAAAAACCTGTGCTGTCCAGCTTTCATCTATCTTCACCCTGACCATGAAACAGATCACTGGAACTTTGCAAAGTCCCTGCTAGCTTTAAAAGTTCCACTATCACCCCTGTGCACAAGAAACAGTGAAAGTAAAAATTACAATAAAAGGAAGTGCTAATTTTATGGGGGATTTTTACACAGTTTCACAGTAGTCAGTATGGAAATGCTGTATCATGAATGACATACAGACTCTTGACCACATTCAAATGAACACACAGGAGTACAGAAACATGTAAATGAGGAAGAAAACTGACAAAGTCCTCTGTTCAGAGAAATAAACAAATGATTTGATATGCTGAACGACGGATGAGTGCAGATATAGAAGAATCACGGTCTGAAGACAGAAACATCAGACTGAGGACAGAAACACACCAGCTCTGAAGTAACAACACACACATCTACATTATACACACAAACACACTTCTGACATCTGTTGAGGTTCATATTGATTGTGTATTCTGCATTAATGCTTCTCTTTTACTGACATGTTTTACTCCTAAATGGATGTTTTTTTTCTTCTTCAGAAATGGCTCAGACTCTATATTTCCCTCTTCTCCTCATTGGTGAGTGTGTTTGTAGTTTTATTTATGGTTTATAGTTTCATTAGGTTTGACTCTGTTCTGAACATCATTAAAGCAAAGTGTCTCTTTCACAGCTCTCTGCTCCATATCTGAATGTGTTCAGCGTCAGTATCACTTCATAAATGAGAACAAGAACTGGACTGAAGCTCAGAGATACTGCAGAGAGAATTACACAGATCTGGCCACTGTTGACAACATGAATGACATGAACCAGCTGAAGAACAGTTTGGACGTAAATTATGGAGTTGTCTGGATTGGTCTTCAGGGTACAAATGTTAGTAATTGGCATTGGTCTTCAGGTGATTCTGTGCTCTTTCTGAACTGGGCATCTGGACAACCATACAGCAGTGATAATTGTGCTGTTATGATTAATGGAAAGTGGTTTGTTGGGGCATGTACTGCCACCTGGACTTTCATCTGCTACAACAGTGAGTACAAACCCTTATGAAATAAAATATATATGTGATTATGCTAGAAAATGTTATATATTATCCTATACATTTTAATTTATGAAAAACTAGATGAAAAAAAGTGTGTTCTGTTTGTTTTTTATGTTACTTTTGAACTGAAGAGTAGAGTTTAAATAAAAAAAAAAAAAAAAATATATATATATATATATATATATATATATATATATATTGCTTTTCTAATAAAAATAATAATAAATGAATAAATAATTAGTATGTTCATACTGCGTTAGGGCTGTAACGATACACCAAACCCACGATTTGGTTCGTAACACGATTTTTTTTTTCGTGTGGGGTGGGGAAAAAAAAGATTTTTAAAACTATTTTTTATTAAATAACATTTGAAAAATCTTTATAAACTAAACATCAAAGAACAATATTAACTATGCAAATTATTAACAATATATATAGCCATATATAAAATAAATAAATAGCCAAAGCTATATCACTTCTGTTTTCTTTGTAAAAAAAATACTGTTGAAAAATCAAACATAACTAAACTTCATTTTGTAGATGGTTCAAGCATGTTGAAAATTCTTTTTCAATCAAGTTCTCTTACATAAAAAAGTAAATTAATTGGCTGATAGGGATGCTCATTTCGTTAATTTTGCTAACCGACAATCGCCGCTCATTAATCGGTTATTACCGGTTAACTGGTCAGATTACTATTAATTTTATATTGAACAAATTAACGTGTCTATTTTGTGTCTGACACATTAAATATTGCATTTTAAAATACTGATTTATTTTTATATGCTAGCATATTAATAACAGAACAGAACAACAGAGCGTCTTCACGCACCTGCAGTGTTTAGCTCAGAAGAGCAGAATAATCTAAATAAAATGAATAAAATAAATAGGACTGCCCTAAATTATTTTCACTTAAATAATTAATTTATATTACAAAACGAAAATACTGACTGATTCTTTTAAATAACCGGCATAGGCTGTATTTTTCCAATCAAGTTTTTTCTTCCGTCAAATAAAAATCGCAGACTTCCTCAAATTGCCCGCTCCACGGAAAATATGCATTTATTTAATGCCCCAGCTGTTATTATTATAATCACAAAACTTTTTTACATTTTTAATAGAAATCCTTATTTTAAAGAATAAGTCCTGATGGTTTCCTCTCTCTCCCTCGCGGTTCAAGTGCGCGTGCTGCATAATGAAAAGACAACAACAACACGCGCGCATATGTTGACTTTTTGTAAACAGTTTTGCTATTTAAATATGCTATTGCATTAATGTGCAGGCATTAATGCGTCCTGAAGTAAAGCGAAACGGCTATAAACTCCAGCAAGATAGAGTGATTATATACAGAGTCATACTTTATCTCTAAATAAAGTATAACTATAGAAACTGTGTTCATCTTAACTGAAAGCTTCGTCCTGTTTCCTGACCTCACGCATCACGCTGTCAGTCAGCACGTAACGTTAACTCCCAAAGGTTCAAACAGAAAGCGCACAGCACGGTTACAGAAAAGTTTCCTCTGCAGAGGAGTCGGGGCATCTGGTGAACACCCATCCCTCTCTGCGCAGCCACATTAACAACAATGCTTTGACAGCACTGGCAATGTTTCTGCCATTGTCTGTTGTCAAGCGGGGTTAAGTTGGTTTTGTTTTTGATATTCCATTCAGACGGTCCCTTACTAAGAGCTCAGTGCGAGCTCTCCCGGTTAAACGCTAATTGCGAGGGCTTAAACGGAGCAGTGCTCGTAATGTCGAGCGGAAAAAAGTGTTTCCTCACGTTCTTCTTCAACTAGCTCAACTTTTGCAGGCACGCGTGACGTTATTGGAAAGGTACGGGGTGTGTCGCGATTCTCCCTTATCACACCGATTTCGATTTCATATCGTGTATCGTTACAGCCCTACTGCATGTGTTATTGATTAACAAGCTGCATTTCTGAAAACATCAAATAAGTTATGAAAATGTCATTAAATGTTATTTAAATAAAGAGTAGAATCACTTGTTGAAATATACAGCATAAGTATAAACATGTTAAGTAGACAGTACACAAGCGGTAGCATATATTATCACATGCAGTAATAAAATAATGCATTACTGAATATAAATCACATTATTATACATGTGTAAATGTATTGTGAATATTTGTCCAGACCAGTGATGGTTGCGGCTGTAAGAGCATCTGCTGTGTAAAACATATGCTAAAATAGTTGTCAGTTCATTCCGCTGTGGTGACCCCTGATGAATGAACACATTATATGATTTTGTATATATTCATGTCAGATGTTCTGTTGTGGCAGGTCTCAGTAATATTAACATGTATATAAACTCACTCAACTGGTAACAAAAGCCTTTCTGATGATGCTTCTGTTCATTCTTTCATCCATTAAAGTGAGCGGAGGACTGGTGTTTGTCAATCAGACGATGAACTGGAGAGACGCTCAGAGTTACTGCAGACAGAATCACATTGATCTGGTCAGTGTGAGGAACCAGAATGAGAATCAACAGCTGGAGAAGTTCATTAATGACAGTCAGATATCTGGATCTGCAGTCTGGATCGGTCTGTTCAGAGACACATGGCAGTGGTCAGATCAGAGCAGCTCCTCATTCAGATACTGGAAACCTGGTCAACCTAGAAGTCAAACTAACGAACACCGTGCGGCAGTTGAACAGTTCAGTCAGGGACAATGGGCTATATACTTTTATGCTATTTCCAATAACCAGTTTCCTTTTATATGTCATGAAGGTGAGCAGATCCTCCAAACACACTCAATCCATCATCAGCTCCAGATCTCTTAAAGTTGACTCTACATGTCTGACATGTCAAATTCCTCCACAGTGTTTGTTCTGCATGTTGTTGTTGATCAGTCTCTCTCTAGTTTCTGCTTTGTTTTGTGTCCAGATAAACTGATTGTGATCCAGCAGAATCTGTCGTGGTCTGAAGCTCTGAGATACTGCAGACAGGATCATGTGGATCTGGTCTCGGTTCAGTCAGTGGAGATGCAGCGTCGTGTGATGAACGTGGTTAAACTGGCGTCTACTGAGGCGGTGTGGTTGGGTTTACACAACTTCTGCAGCGTGAACATGTGGCTCTGGGTGAATGGAGACATGGTGTGCTATCAGAACTGGGCTCCAGGGAACGGCAGCACACCGGAAAACTGCAAACTGGAGAACAGAAAAGGAGCAGTTCAGTCTGGAGGAAATCAGACCTGGATCAGCCTTCCTGAATCTCATAGACTCAACTTCATCTGCACTAACTACTGAGAGAAAAGATGTGAGATTGTAGGTGTTTACTTCCATTCACTTCCATTCAGTTTTCACATTGCATTATTTTTAAATGTGGACAACAGTCAGATTTTTATGACATGCTATTATTGTTGTTTAACAAATGTTTAATAGGATGATTCGCACAAAAGAAAAATGTAAATAAGCCTGTAATTTCCCTCAAGCATACGCTAGCACAAGTGGTTTCCATGTTACTGGTTTATTTGTTGGCTTTTTCCCCCAAATCCACCGTGAAATTTAAACAATGAATACAAAACAAATGTACTTAATACAAATCAAAACATCCGTAAACAAACAAACAAATTTTAGAAACTTTAAACACAACATACAAATATAAAGCAAAATGCCTCGTTGGCTTCATGCTATATAAAAGAAATGGTCCTGAATGCTTCTTAAATCACTTGTTGAAGTCCTCGTTGAAGTCAATACATCCATTGACGAGCACATGCAAACAACTCATGTTTGCCGATCGCTTGCTAAGAGGAAGTCATAACCTCATGGGCAATCAGCCAATTCATACAATCGCAGAGATTTCAAAATGAAAGTCCCAAACCAAATAAATTCACAACTAATACATGTAGCTTATTTTCTCCACAACAAAAAATTATCTTAGAAAGCAGACAACTTATATTCATAATATACAAAATAACAGCAAACAGTTACACTCTAATAAATATAAATCAAAATATCCTTGTCCTCCTAATGTAGAGGTGCCCAAACTTGGTCCTGGAGGGCCGGTGTACTGCATATTTTAGTTCTAACCCCAAATAAACACAACCGAATCAGCTAATCAAGCTCTTTCTGGGTATACTAGCAACTCACAAGCAAGTGTGTTGAAGGAAGTCGGAGCCAAACGTATACAGGACACCGGCCCGCCAGGACTGAGATTGGACACCCCTGTCCTAATGTCTACACTACCTGACAGAAGTCTTGTCATTGATCTCTACGGAGACCCACAAAAAACGTGATGGTGAGAAGAAAAAAAAAATGGGAGAAAGGAAAAAAAAACTGAGCGGGAGAAAATAAGTTTTTGCATTGAAAAGAAGCTTTTCCACAAACACTTTCTGTTCACTTCATACATGTATACCCTCCTGTTTTTGCTGGGATTCTCCCTTATTTTACCATTCTATCCCACTATCATCCTATCATTAAGTATTTTCCCATATTTCTTGTGTATTTTTAATCTTGAAAGTACGCTGAAATTAATATAAAAGTTCTGCATTCACTTTCATTCCATTAAAGTGTGCATCGATCTTCATATGCAAACTCTGAATCGGCAAATACATGTATACAGACATGCTCCGTATGATAAACAGATGCCAGATCAGCTTCTGTAGATTTAAAGAAAGTGCAGGACAGTTTGGGATTCAGGTGAGTTTAAACAGACGAATACACTTAATAATATGTAAATATGTCCGTCCAGCTTGTTTTATTTTAAACAACTAATTTTCTCTTAAATGAGCACAAACAGTTACTAAAGTTTGCCTATAGATCAAACCGGTTTGTGGATGATGCAGTCAACATGGGACTGCATTATACCCTACAACTAACCAGGGAACTACGCAAGGATTCTGTTTGTGGACTTCTGCCTTTAACACCATCGTCCTATCACTGTTCGATTACAAACTGACCCAGCTCTCTGTTCCTAGCTCTGTCTGACAATGGATCACCAGATTTCTGACAGATAGACAACAGCTAGTCAGAATGGGCGTGATCACATCGACAGCCGCACCATCAGCACTGGTGCCCCCTAGGGATGTGTTCTCACCCCGCTGCTCTACTCCCTGTGCACCAATGACTGCACCGCAAAAGACCCCTCCATCAAACTCATTAAGTTTGCAGACGACACTACTGTTATCGGCCTCATCCGGAACAGATCTGTGCATTCTTACAGACACCTCTGTTATCACACAAAACAACACGAGAGAGTCATTTGCTGCTTATCACTTGTTTGATAATAGAGGTGTCACTGTAAATGGCATGTACAGAAGCTGATCTGGGATCAGTTTATCATACAGAGTGCATTCGAATACATGCATTCGCTGATTCAGAGGTTGTGTATGAAGGGCGGTGATCGACGCACAGCTTTACTGGAAAGAAAGTGAATGCAGACGTTTTTATATTAATTTCAATGCTCTTTCAAGATCAAAAATACACAAGAAATAATTATTGATAGGATAATAGTAGTATAGAATGGTAAAATAAAGGGAGAATCCTGGCAAAAAACAGGAGGGTTGAAATGTATGAAGTGAACAGGAAATCTATCACTCTTCTATCACTCTGTTTTTTTTTCTCCTACTCAGTTTTTTTTTCTTCCACCCATTTTTTTCCTTCCACCATCACGTCCCTTCCGGGTCTTCGTAGATCTCAGTTGTAAGAGCAACACATAATAACTTGACTTCTAGTTGATCATGTGTAAAAGTGTCAGAAGGTTGATTTTTCTGATGAATCATCTGTTGATCTGCATCCCGATCATCACATATACTGCAGAAGACCTACTGGAACCCACATGGACCAAGATTCTCACTGAAATCAGTCAAGTTTGGTGAAGGAAAAATAAGGTTCAGTATGGGGGCGTGAGAGAGATCTGCAAAGTGAACGACAACATCAACAGCCTGAGGTGTCAAGACATTTGTGCTGCTCATTACATTACAAACCACAGGAGAGGGACAATTCTCCAGCAGGATAGCGCTCCTTCTCATACTTCAGCCTCCACATCAAAGCTCCTGAAAGAAGGTCAAGGTGCTCCAGGATTGGCCAGCCCAGTCACCAGACATGAACATTATTGAGCATCTCTGGGGTAAGATGGAAGAGGAGGCATTAAAGATGAACACAAAGGTTCTTGATGAACTCTGGGAGTCCTGCAAAAACACTTTCTCTGACATTCCAGATGACTTTCTTAATCAGTGATTTGAGTCAGAGATGTATGGATGCAGTCCTCCAAGCTCATGATGGAGTCAGACACAATATTCATTCTGGCTGCGTCCGAAACCGCATACTTCCATACTTTATAGTACGCTAAAATCAGTATGCGAGCCGAGTAGTATGTACGAATTCATAGAATTCGAAAATCAGTATGCGAGAAGTACCCGGATGACTTACTACTTCCGGCGATATTCTAGAGTGCGCATCCCATGCATGCTGCGCTATCCCATGATGCCCCGCGAGCGAATTCATAAATGGGAGTAAAGCGACGCAATTGACGCAGGTAGGTCACATGACCATGACAAAATGGCGGATGTAGTACGTCCGAATTCCATTTATACTTTTCATGTTCATACTGTATAGAACGCACTTTTCTAACGGCTGAGTAGTACGTTTAAATTCAAATGCAGTACCTACTGAGTAGTAGGCGGTTTCGGACGCAGCCTCTGTCTCCACTGCAGCAGGAATTTATACTCTATACTAGACATTATTTCTGTTCAGTGATGACAGTTTAGTCTAAGCAAAGTCAAACCTTACTGCCTCAATGAAATTATTAATAATCAAGGCATGATCATATTTTATTGTGGTCAAATAAGCGTCATCTAGAGGCCTTTGCCTTTCATATAAGTCACTTCTGATACCAAATGATCAACTAGAAGTCAAGATAATTTTCGTTGTTCCTAAAACTTGGATAGGTGACAAGACTTTTGTCAAGTAGTGTATAACGATAGTGAAGAGGTCTAGATTTTGAAGCTCATCCATAATTGTCTATTAAAGCCACACTCCAAAGGATGCCAAAAGAACTTCAAATGCAAGTCAAGCTTATGTCTGAGTAAACAGAGTTGTGTCTGTGTGTTCACTCACATTCACTGTTTTCAACTTTTATATGTTTGATTTATTCTTTTAAATTTTCAGAGTAAATCTGCTGTTTGTGCTTAAAAATAACCAAATGTTTTGTTTCTGTGCTTTATCTGTCATAATATCTTGTGCTGTTAAAGTTTTAACACCAATGTTTAAGATAAAGGTTTAAGGTTCTTTGATTTAAGGTGTAAGATTCTTTAGATGTGATGTGTGTGTTTTCAGTGTGTTTTCTAGATCTGTTGGTGTTTGGTCTCTGTATGTTTTGCTGAATGTGATTCTGTGAGCAGCAGATCTTCAGTAAATCATGATTTGTGTCTCAGCTGAATGAAATCTGCTTTATTCAGAAAGGCAGAGAGAAGTTTGGGTATAAAATGTGATTGATCCTAAATCATGAAATAAACAGAACATCAGATGAAATAAACTGATCTACAGTCAGTGTTCTTGTCTCCTGTTTATTTGCTAATGTCTCTCCACTATCACAGTAATCAGAAAATTAAGTGTAGTGCATAAATTAACGAGTCTTTATTGTTGATTTGTTTGACTCAGATTAGTGTGGAAATTTCAGCTTCCTGAGTGTTTCTGCTGGGATGATGGTTTTTACTGCAGCGCCTCCTGCTGGTGTTTGAGAGTTTCTGTTCTCAGGATTCTGTTCTCAGAGTTTCCTGAAGTTCAGTTTAGATAATTTTCTCAAACTATGTCTTCAAAGATGGTTCAACAAAAATATTTTAGCATGCACAGTGTATATATAAACCTGTCAGTCAGACTGTTTATGACTCATTCCAGAATTACAGGTACATGCATTTATCATTGAATTTCCTTAAACTGGAATACCATATAAAAAAAAAAAAAATATATATATATATATATATATATATATATATATATATATATATATATATATATATATATTCAGTAAACTTAATAAATTATTAATGTAAAATAATGTAAAATGCTTAAATATGAGGGAGCATGTTTTCAGTTACTAATTGCTGTTTAACTGATTGTTAATCTTTTTAAACCAGTTCAAATTCAATTCATTTATACCACATCCAACTGCCACAAGGCTGCACAGATTGCTTTACAGAGAAAATAATCTAATAATATGATCCTAAAAACAGTGACAGGAATAAGCAGATAATAAGAAAGAACACAGAAAGTGTAGCAATAAAAAGAGCAAAAAATAAAAATAGAAAATTTTGCCTAATTAAAAGATGCTGTCATGACTGTCAGTGACCACCCGAGGGCGCTGTAGTTCAACGGACACTGAGAGTGAACTACAGCACCCAAAAACTACAAATCCATACATACCACGCACATACACCCGGAACACGTACACTGATCTGCTATCACAGCTGTGTCTGTTTACCGTTGATTATCTGGACTTTATATTCTATCATTCCACCACTGTTTGTCATTGCGTCGTTTGTCTTTCTTGTCTGCTTTCCAGTAAGTCTAGTATTTCGAGTTATTATTCCTGAGCCTTGTCTCTGATTTATGTTTCTTGTTTTGTTGTTTATTTGTACTTTGAACACTTTGTTTCTCTGTTTGATGCACACTGTAAATAAACTGCACTTGGATCCGCACCTTTTTGTTCTTGTTTAATCACGCTAACGTGACAGATGCTCCCACAGCTGACCAACACTAAATACGATTAAGAACAGGTAACAAAACCAGTAACAAAGTTGACATTTTCCACCATTTCCTCCATTTTTCATTCAAAATTCTCTCTCAAACCAGACTCCACATGGCATGTCTAAAACCCATTTATGCATTTTTTCATCATAAGATGGTTTAAAAAAAAAAAAAAAGAAACAGTGAGAAACTACCTGAACTATCAGTAACAGCATTGACAATTAATCTACTGTTGGTAAGTCCTTAACATTTTGAACAAGTTTCCCACCACAGGAAGTGACATCACTTGCAGCAAGTCACATGCTTTTTCTTTCAGTGCTTTACAGATTGTTCTGCCTTTTTACAAGTGATGTAACAGAGACGACCAGACTGTAGAGAGAGACACGATATGTACTTTTTAAAAAAACTGAAATTACAAATAATAAGGAAAAAATTGATGTTTCATACAAATG